GCCCGATTTGAGAGCGGTTTTTTGTTTTTTTTTAATATATTTAAAATTTTTTTTTTGGAGTAGGGGGATTTCTTCGGGATGACTACCATTAACTAAAATTAATTTGATTTTCAATCGCGATCTTTTGAGCTCATAACGTCGTGACCCGTTAAAATGTTTTTCCTCATATGCCCACCATTCTATTCTTCTTCTGCAAACTTTTACGATCATTAGTTATTACGCTAATACATGTGACCTGCAGCGGGCTGATGAATTCTGTGCATTAGATATTTTTTGACCAAAAAAGGATATGGCTGCTGTAGTCTTTTTTTGCATTACATCATGGTAGTTACATGTGTGAGGAAAATATCAAGCTTCAACCATAAAACTAAATATCAAATTTTGAATCCTATAGTCGATCGATTTACATCATAACGTGAATTGTGCATGTTTCTTGAACACGTAATATTGATACGCGCTCTAATACGTGTTAAATTTATTGAGCTTTCGCGTCCACAATGTAAACCCGTACCCTCCCATAGAATCGCAGCGACGTGCTGAAGCGGGCACCTACGGGAGGGAAGCGATCAGTAGTAAACAGCGCGGGACCACCGCCAGACGACGACACAGCGCAACACAGAAGAGACGGCCGCCGGCGCGGGCGCAGGCGGCCAGGCGAATGAGAGAGCGGCGCAAGGCAGCCGCGGCGGCCGTGACCAGGTTAGACGACAAGGCACGCGACCGCTGCCGCTCCATTGTCTCGCGGCGTGCCGTCGGCGGGCTATGCGCAGCGCCCCCGGCCGCGTGGCGCAACCAGACTGCCCCCTACCCCTCCCCACCGCCACCCCCTCCCACGCATCTGCTCCACATACCCCGCCCCGCCACCCCGCACGCCAGCCCGTGCGGTTTGCTAAAAACATTAACGAAGCGCGCAGTCCTTTCGCCGGCGACTTCGCTTTCTCTCCTCTCCGTCGCCGCCCCCGCCCCCCGCCCCGCCCCGCCCCCGCGAGACGGACGCCCGCCCGCTCTCCTTCCTGTCGCTCTCGGTCGCCGCGCCGCTTCTGCGCAGTTCCGCTCGCCGCGCAGACCAAGGTTTGTGATCCCGGAACTGCCCGCGCCTACGGTTAAGTCTCTTTGTGTCTTTGGATCCTGGTGTGTGATATACTTCTCAATGTTCGTACGGGTTTCCCCTGCTGGTTCCGGATGGGACATTTGGAATTATAAAGCTTTGGTTAGGCTTCTTCCACAGAGTAAGGCTGCATCCCAATTGTCAAGCTTTTCTTGCTTTTGAGTGTGGCTAGGAAATCACCCAGTTTATCTCAAGCTTTCTTATTTTCTTCTCTGTTTTCTCATTTCTCACACCTATCAGTTCAATTACAATTTCATTTTCACAGAATAATGAGAGTGCAAGACGTTCAGGTATACATCGGGACTGCTACGAACAAGTGCGGAAAAAGAATCTCAAAAGCAGTACATTAGCAGCATGACGAATCCAGTCAAATTCATTTTATGAATGGTTCTTCACTTACCTGTGAATTTTCCCCTGATCAAGAATAGATTCTAAATTCTTCAAAAAATTAAATCATATTACAAGTAAAATTGACCTTCAAATGCACATTCATTTCCAAAGTGGCATGGTTCTAGATTAGAAGCTCAAAGTTGTAGCAGATAGAAAACCATAATTATTACCATAAGCTGTAGAAGCTGCCTGATCACAATCTAGGTGCCTTGGTCGGTTTCTTTTCGACGGTGAAGTTTATTTAGATCTTTCCTTACGCCTATGTCCAATCACCCTTGTTTTCATACCATTTTAAGCAACCTGTTGTCATTTATTCGGTCTAGATATTATCTAACTTCTAATATCATCTAATTTTCTAATATATCCAAATGTCACAATAAACGAAAGTACAAATTAAAATTACTTTCTCGTGTATTTCTGAAGGCTCCATTTAGTATCGATTTTTCCTTTCAGAATCGTAATTTCCGATAATTCTTAAATGCTGTTTATTTCATTTTTTTATGTTACGTAGGTAGCGGTATGTAGGTAATCTCATGTATATAAATGTCCGGTAAGGTAATAATAAAATACAATTTTTAGATTACCATAGAACCTACACGGGTACAAAATGTCTCGTTTACTTCATTATTAACTCAGAACCTCGGACCAACTCCAATTGCTCAGCGTCAACGTCATGGCCTCTGCAGTCTGTTGGCCGAGAGGTTCTAAGGTTGGAATGGTGGTGCATTTCCAACATTAATCACATAGCTGCGCCGAACTGAACCTCTGTGTGGAGGGAAGTTCTCGTGGCCGGATGCTCTGATTCGAACTTTTCCGCAGTTTCTCTGAGCAATACCAAGCATGTGCCGAAGCAACGCCCTAACAAATAGACCACGGATCGCACGCGATCTTTTATTGTGATAGACGTGATAAAATAAAAAGTAACAATGACCGCTAATTATATACTTGGTAATTTGAATAAGAAATTAAATTGTTATAAATTATGATTTGACTGGACAATTAATTGACTGCCGCAGCTGAGAATCGAACACGGTTCTAACAAATTGTCGGTGGTTTTTGGTTCTACCCACTTAAACTACTGACTTCCAACAGTGGTCAGGTGGTGAAACGTATAGAACTTTAATGTTATGTCGCAAATGCAATTTTGGTACTCGTACCTTATTTAAAATAATTAATACAAGACCCAAATTGATCAAAAGTGCAATCGTAAATAATATACGAATGTATTTATTATTGCTCTTGATGTGCTGTATTGGTTTAGCAGTGATTTTTCGTTGGCATTTAAAATAGAATAATTTTAGGCGTCATTGCCAACAATATTAATATAGTTGGCCATTATAACGTCTGTAGTTATTTTATTTAATGTGCTGTCCGATAGATAAACATCTTTTGCAGCAATACTCGTATGGTAGTTGTTGTACAATTGTTTTATGCAATTCTAGAAGCCTCCCAATTCGGGTGTTCTTCATAAGGGTTCCTATGTTACCACACACATAATCGGCTGTCGCCATATTTTATTTTTAAAGAATGTGTCAATCTTGTTCCTATCTAATGCCATTTTTGGGACTTCTGTGAATGTTTTGAATTTGACGATATAGATGTTGGCTAGAATCATCTAAAATATAATAATTTAGCTCAAATACCATCACTAGAATTACACTGACTTACTGCTCACTTACAAGGCTTTCCATTGTTCATTGCCCTTTTTAAGCTCGATCATAATTTCTTGACATCACAGCATGCGTATCTGCGAGGTCTGAAGGGCCCTATGATGACATATCTTTGCGGCTTTATCTTTTAATCTGACATTTAATGCAGTAACTCTTTTCTCTTTTCACTTGCCTCATTATACGCAGTGTTTTATGTTGTAGTTATTTTTATGACAGAACGGGTAAATATTTACGAAATAGTCGTTAAAGTTTTTGTTTCATGTGAATTCCAGCTCCTGCGTAAAATTAAAAGGTGAAAGGGTTATCAACATGAATTTAACATGGATGATAAAAATAACTCTTCATATTATACGCTACATTCCTGACGGAACGTAGAAAAAAATCGGCTTTGCAAGTTATTCTGCGTTAATAAAAAATAGTACGAAATAATACGTGGTTAAGGATCTTTTCGATTCTTACCACGATCTGCAAGTGAAAATAAATCAACATGAAGGATTTAAACTCTTAAACTTTGATGAAACACGCAGGACTAAGTGGTGAACGTGTCGTTTATTTCTCAGAAGGTGCTTTTGATTGTTTTTTCACGGGCGCTTCGGAAAACCATAGGATGAATTTTATGAAAAAAATTGACACTCCACATATATTTGACGTGTTCCTTAATATCACCAATTTCATTGAGTAACTCCAAATTCCCATCTTAACCAACAAATGTGTTTCCGTCAGAAATGTGGTCTGCAATAAGAATTATTATAACTAAGCCCCGATTTAAAAATAGTGACTTGAGAATGATCATCTGCTGTAACGCGATTATCAGGAGCTTCAAAACAAAAACTGAAGTTGTAGCGAATCGGACAATATCGTCCAAGTGAACAATTCTTGTAATTTGTAGACTACTATGTGGATTAATGTTATATTAGTCTACAAATTAAAACTAGATTTTATCTCTCTATTCTCGTGCCCTAAATTTAATATAATACAACATAAATACATTTATCTACATCATTCTCAACAATGATGTTAAGATAATGGACATTTATCATAATTTAGATTCGGAGTGATTCTGCGAAACTAAATTCTATTGACAATACTGTTTATTTTTTATTTATTGACATCGAGCTTTTATTCTATTCACACTGTTTCAGAAGAGTGAATTTCGATCATGCATCCACAACCTGACAATGAATGAATTGAGACAAACTTTCTTGTATTACGGGAATTTCTTCTTCCCTTCTACGTTTCACTCAAATACAATGAAAAATGAAGTCGATTTTAAACTTGTATCTTTATACTACAAAAATATTTTAAAAATAAATGTTTGTTCTGCTGAATTGAATACGCATTGAATTCAAATCCAAGGGGCAATTTAACTTAGTATCTATTGCTCTAGTTTGAGACCCCACGGAGTTATTATCCCCTCGTCTGACGTAATTTCGTGTCAAGAATTAAAGTCGTAATATGACGTAATTTCATGTCAAGAATTAATGTCGGAATGCCTTCTAAATACCAATATTTTATGCTGCTTATGTGTTCATTTACTGATGCTTAATTGTCAAAGCTAATTCAATAGTTGCGTTTGACATGTCGCTTAATTCGTATTCATTATTAACTATCTTCTATTCTCTTGTTCCCCATTCATCTCTGCGCTTCTTCTCTCGGTTCCTAATCGTATTCAAGTACACTAATTAACTGCATTCCTTCGCATTCGCCTCCTGGGACGTCCCGCTTCTTCCTCGTACTTGGACTTTCACTTTCTGTGCTGTCGACTCCATGACCTACGCAAGCACCGTTGCTCGTTTCGTCACCTGTAATTTGCGTGTTTCTACTGTTCCCAGAGTGCGAACACTGCTCCCGAGCAGGAAGGAAGCGGTGGCAAGTCTATTTCCCTCCGCTGCTGCTGCTGCTGCTGTCAAGTTCAAGCGGCCGCCGCCGTGAGCTGGTGAGTGCGCTGTCTTTTCAGGTCAATGGCCAAAAGGAACAGGAAGGCTCGTTAAGTTTACTAGGGTTCTGTAACTTCTTCACAGGGCTGAATCAAGTGGACCATACCATCGGTCTGGTTCATGTATCACTTCGGACCGGTTAAACTTGATTGGTATGTGGGATATGAAATTTGAGACAAAATAAAGATTCAAAGTTTATTTGTTTTAAAAGATTCAATAGATTCAAGGTTTGAATGTCGTTAATGTATCCGTGCCTTTCAAATTTATTATATCACTTTTTACATGCGTTCTTTAAATGACAGCTGCAAATACACAAATTTGACGCAATGTTCGGTTTGCCCCAGAGCTTTTCATAGATTGACAACCAGAATATTTCATAATTTTTCAAATAACTCACCAAATTGTTATAAAAATGAAATGTTAGTTAAAAGTGTTGTCTAAGTTGTTTGAAGGTTTTAAAAACGTAAATTTAATTATCGAATCTGCTGGGAGATTCAGCTCCGTGAGAACTGGAATAAAACTCTTTTCCCAACGCTGGAACAAGAGGTCGAGACCAACAATTTTTCTTTCTCCACAATACATGGTATTTCACCTCATTTGCGACATGCGACATTTCAAAAGGTGTGTTGTAAAGGTCGTAAGGAGGCGTAGGTTCGACGCTCGTGGCTGGTGTTGCATGACATGCAACTTTGGGGTTACTTTGGTAATAACTTTCCAGTGAAGGTGATGTATGTTCTGCGCGTTATTTATTCAACACGATCCAACCGAAAGATACGTCTTCTCGAATGTAGGTCGTATCATATTACGTCTTCAGAGGAATCTAATTGTCTTGAAAGTTGCGCTACTTGCGGCGTAAAACTTTCGCATTGTCGGGCACAGCAAGTTCCCATCTGAGAATTACATCTAGTAAGTAATGCATACTATTGTTTCTAACAATTAAGTTTTATAAGTGTAGTTCCAATCGTGGATCCGGATTTATCTACCCATTTACCCTTCCCTTTCAAAATTTTCAGAATATTTCAATAAGATGCCGTTTCAATAAAACAACTTTCATCGAACACAGAAACAAAAAAGTCCGTGGAAATTATTAGAGTGAAGTTCCTGAAAATGGCAGGTTATAAGAAGTGAAAATAACTGTTCGAAATTACTGTACGGCTGAGGTTTTTGTGTCTTAAAGACAAATCAAAACATATAATAATTACCACTAGAAACAATATATTATTCATCTTTATATTGGGCATTTGCAAAGGTTAACATTCAAAGATAAATTTCAGAAATAGTAATACAATACAGTTATGATGTACGAATACATATAAAACGAAGAAATACGATAAAAGTATTTGTAATATTATACTCCGATTAAAACAGGGGGTACATTGACGTTTGATCAGCTGGGACGCGGCAATTGAATCGAGAGATTCGTTGCGACTTAATTTTTGAAATTGAAACTCCTGATTGATTAATTGCAAACGACAGAAAGCGATTAATCAATTCGCTTTCTGTCAATTCGCTTTCGCAGCCTGAGGGTGTGACATCTTCCCGCTACTATCATCATCGAGAAATAGAAGGCTACTTCTGGAGTGTTTACATGTATCTATTTCAGTACACCATCAATATTTTTTAAACCTGGTTTTTACTTTCTCGTATACGTACAGGTACATACATACAGAGTAATATACGTAGTATGGAGAAAGTTAGGTAATGTTGCGGAAAATTGATTTAGGGATTTCAAACAATAACAGTGTTTTGGTGTCCCCTGATACCGAAAAATTGTTTGCTTTTTCAAAAGTCCCTCCATCTGCCATGTGTAGGACTTTTTCCAATTTCCACATCGCCTAGAAAAGGTTTTCTAAAAATGGCTCCAAATATTATCTTCAAAATTGTGGTGTGTATAGTGGTAAATGTTCTCTGTATGATGGCATAAACGCCATATTGCTCTCTAATTTTGTTTTTTCAAGAATTACAAAAATGATATAATTTTACTTGTCTCTCACATCGTTAATCTTTGCATTAGTAGCAATTTGTTCAAATTATTATATGTATGAGTACATGTGATTGAAATAATATCAGAGAAAGTTTCTCGAAAACTCAGCAGTTTTCTGTGAAAATGAACTCAAAATTCCGAATTTTCAGAAACGCTTAAACACTTTTTTTCTCAAAAATGACTAAAAATGTTTTCTTCATATAAAGGTTTTCGGAAACATAATGTTTTCTGTGAAAAGAGGTTCAAATTTCGCTTTCAAAGTAACGCTTAAACACCATTTCCTTAAAAACGGCTCCACATTTTTCAATTAACATTGTCATTTAGGTCGAGATTTTACTCTTCTGTAATATTTGTAAAGTAATAAATCGCTTCCACTATAAGAAAGCCGAAAAATGAGAAAATTTCAAAAACTGTATTTTGGGTGGCGATAAATGGCAGCTAGCAAGAGAATGGGGTAAGTCAGAATTGGTAGCCCAGACAAAAGAAAATAGAAAATTAATTCGAGAACGTCTGTGCCATTCTGTAGCATCACTAGTGTTTGTTTGTTTGTTGACTTATGATATTCTATTAAGTTTAAAACTATTTTGACACCTGAATAAATTGTACCCAATTTCTCAAAATATACAACACAATTGCGCATTTATCTTGTGACTTTTAGCCTTTCCATGACAGTTCGTAATTAATCAAAGAAATTGTAATAAATTGAATGCAGAAAACATTTTAAAGCCAAACTGAAAGAAATATGGGAGACATTAATCATAATGAACTTCGAGAGCGCTTTGATGTTATTTTCAAATATTGTGCTCTATTTGAACCTTTGCAAATCAAACAGATTGAATTACATAAGGGAGTTCGACATTTCACTCGTATTTGTAATGAGAGTCAAGTATTTCGGGCTACAGAAACTGAGCAGCACTAACCTCTGCCGTCTTCTAAACATGAGAAGATTCTTCGTCGACCCTCTCACGGGGCATCATTCTACTGCAGGAACAGCTAGCAACTTGTTTGGCCACTCGCCGGCTACAAAAATCTCTGCTAAGCGAAAGGCACTAACGCTTTATGTCATAAACTTTTACGACAGGGTAATCGGGGTCTGATTGTTGGAAAGTATACGCCATACTTTTATCTTCCGTGATAACTAGCTTCTCTTTAGCCGCCAGAAAAAGAAATGACTAGTACTCCGGGAACGAAAATGTGTGATGCAGTTGCAATTGTCCTTCTCTAAATTTTGTTACTTGAGAAGAAGAGAGTTTCGAATTTACTAATATAAACTAGGACAACTGATACATTTGTTGAAGAGACTCCGCTGATGTGTGCCACAGTTCGTGTTTCAATTTACAAACGAACTTTAAGAAAATAGTGAAATCTCCACCTTGCATATTTGTTTATTTGCGTTTGATTAAATCTGGAAATTAATAACAATATTTTCAAGTCTCTAAATTTTATTTGAACGAGATGAATCATTCGAAATAAAATCTCTTTAAGATCGTTTGATATAAGCATTTGAGTTACAAATCATTTAGTCTCCTAGAGTTTAAATTTTCTTTACATTTTTATCATTGTTCAGTGCATTTATCATGGGATTAAGGATCCTCTGAGGAGGCATGTCGTGGCGAGTCCTGTTCCAGGGAGACGAGAGAGAAAGATATTTACTAGGATGTCCGGGTGACGCCGCGTCCACGGCGCAGGTGCCGACGTTTCGGTCGCTATTCTGCGACCTTACTCAGGGCGAGAGAAAGGTCATCACGGCCTGAGGAAGGTCGCAGAATGGCGACCGAAACGTCGGCACCTTCGCCATGGACGCGGCGTCACCCGGACAGCCTAGTAAATACTGACTCCGGCCGCGGAAGCCTACGCTCTCACGAGAGAGAAAGATGTACAAAGGAAAGAGAACAGGAAGAGGGACATCCGTGAGGAAGGAAAGGAGGAACAGAAAGGAAGGAAGGAATAAAAAGAATGAGATATTAGAGGACCACTAGAGAATGGTCGTCTTTGTTATATTCAACACTTTATTTTACTTTGAAATTCGGTTTGGTATTATATACTTTTGAACGAATAAATAAATATTGATTTAAAATTGTTTAATGATTTTCTTAAATTTCCGTTCATCATGTAATATTTAAGAATTTTTTAAACAGTCATTTTGTGTTTTTTTGAATGATATACTACGTTTGCTTTCTTCGAGTTACGGATGTAAGCCCGTTTATTAGGCAAGTTGAAGTTCCATTCGGAGGAGATATTTGCTAAACTATCGAAACGGCGGGGAGACGTGGACTGCTTTGCCTATTCCCTGAATTAACTCAGCCGCCCTTCGCAGATCCGCACGTGGCCCCTCCCTAATCCTATATAATGTTTCCGCGGACAACTGCCATCTGCAGCTCCATATTTCACGGAAGTCTGCCGCTTCTGTGGGCGAGCGGGCGCTACCTGGTCGTTGCCGTGACAAACGGGGCGCTGGAGGCGCGGCGACTGAGCGCACCCCGACTGCTATTCACGGGATACACATTGTTGCGTAAGCGGCGCTGCGTGCTCTGCAGCGCCCCGAGTGTGTTCTGCTGCACACTAAAGGTGTTTCGCCCCCCTCCCCTGCCCCCCTCCTCGTGACGCAGGCCCTGCGGATTTATTCGATAGTCTACGCATATTTGGTTTTGCTTTCGGTTGAACGCCTAAACTTTGCATCTGTATAATTAACACATTTACGGATTTTTGTTTAGAACGTTGTTTGAGATAACGTTTCTATCACATTTTGTTATTTTTCTTTGTATTGTGGGAAGTTGGCTTCGATGTGTTATATATTGCCCTAATTTAAGAGTTTCTAGTAAAAAACATTAAATATTAATAATTTCTTATAATTAATAGAATGAACACTTATTTACCGTCATTTCTTCATTATTTCATTTCGTTGTGTGAATTTCACTGGTTACATGGCAAGCAGTCGTTATTTCGTCAGCTGGCGCAAGCAAGCTGTGCCAAGCGGTTCAATCAGTGTTGCCAGGTGAGAGGTGGGGGGCTTCCACATTAATTTAGGGTTTTAAGGTCTTTATTTGGCTTTTAGAGGGCATTTTTTTAGATTTTCGTTGGCGGGGGGGGGTCGTTGAGTTTAATTATATTTTAATAATTTTATAGATGCTATTGTTTACTTTCCCGTATACATTTTTATATACGGAGTAATACATAGTATAGGGAAAGTTATGTAATGC